CAAGATTTGAACTGCCAATTTAATTCTGATAAGCTAAAAGCTTATCAAGATTAAATGAAAACTACAGTAACCACTCAAGTTGAAACATGCTTCATCATTCAATCTTCATGCTTTAATCATGCCACAAAAGAAGACACATTCTCAAGTTAGGTACACGAGACAACAACAAAAACGTCAAAAGTAAATGCACCACAAAGAAGGCAAGGACTTACCTTTACAGCAGCAGAAATTGACAAATACCCGGTTGAAGAATTATCCGGTGACGGAGGCGCAGGAGCACCAGTGGTGGTGGTGGTGGTGGTGGTGGTGTTAGCACTGACAGCACCTGTTCCACTAATTCCAAGCGAATATGCCGGTGTTCCATCAGGCTTAAACAACCCATAATTCCTCTCAGAAGTTGGTCCAGGTTTCATGTTTTCATTAAACAAAGCAAAAACATAAATGTTCAAATCTGTATTAGGCCTCATTGGAGTTCCCTTCCTTTGACAAATAATCTTGAGCAAATTCCCATTATATTTCTTCGCATTTTCGAGGGTTGCTCCTAGTTCATCTGCATCGCCTTTCGATGGCCAGCCAGTTTCTGATATATGAACTGGCAATTTACTGTATCCTAAACTTGCTAATGCAGAATGCACAGCATCAATTTGAGCAAACAACATGTTATCATAATGGAAATTGCTTTTCGAATCAACAATCCCTTGATTTGGCTGAAACAGCACAAAATCTAAAGAAATTTGCTTGGGATTAGACTTGTATGCAAAGAAGGGATATGCATTGATTAAAAATGGTGAGTTAGTCTTGGCATGGAAATTCAATATGGGGGTGATGCACCCCACAAGATCTTTTCGAAAAGATCCAGCTGAAGGTGGATAAGACACTTCAAGAATTGCCAAAGAATGAGCTGTAGTAACTGAGACCTGCTTATCAAGTCCCAAATTTACTAAAGCCGTGTGAATGCCCTGCATTGCAGGAAAGAGGTTGTCTGTAAGACCTGTGTCATTAAAGGTTAAGACTTCATTGCCAATTGTGATGCAAGTGATTTTTGTTGCTGGTAAATAAGCTTGAACATTTGTTTTAACCCAAGCCTGTGCCTTTTCTGGATCTCTCATCTTTGACAAGTACTCATTTCCAAGACCAACTATGAATTCCACTCCTGTATTAGCAAATGCTTTAAGCACTCTTGGATCTGCATCATAAAGTTTCACTTTTGTTGCCCCAATTGATTTCACTAAAGGGACTACATTGTCTGGTGCTGGAAGATTGTTAGCAATCTGACCATAATTGATCCCAATAGAACCCACCATTACAGGAAATACCAAACCTGCATATAAAGATGCAACCTTCAGTTTTTATTTCAGAGCAAGACAGACGTTGAAACCTCAAACAAACATGGGATCTAAGAGAAAGTACCTGAAATGGAAAGGATAAGTGAAGCACAGTAGTAAAATCTACGGTCCTCCATTCTTCAGCAGAGTGGTCAAGTAAGCTCAAAAGGGACTTGAAATCTTGATGCAAGAAGCTAGTCCAAAGCTGTCTTTTTGAGAGTAACCCACAAGAAATCTAGATATTATAGGCCTAACCAGTGAGTGAAATACACTGAGGGTGGTATGGCATGAAACTGTACAAGCAATGGGACTGGCGAGTCAGTGACCAGACATTGTTTAGGATTTGTGATAGTATTTTTTTTTAAAGTATTTTTTTATTTAAAAATACATTTATTACTTTTTAAAATTTATTTTTAACATAAAAACAATCACGCCGCTATCCCGGGAGCGAAAAGAATGGATCTTTAGCCTCTGCTTATTGGTGTGGAGAGAGTAGCATGCAATATTGGCTTTAGATAAGAATAAAAATGGAAGAATGCAGCTTGTTTTATATGCGGCGCAGTGTTTAGAGTTAAAGATTCTTTATCATTGAATTTAGAAGGGGAGATATCCAAAGAGGAAACCTCAAATTACTTATTGATTCTTGGCTCAGTTAGTGGTGCGGTGAGTTACGGCGAAAACTGTGTTTAAAGTATTTTTTTTTATTATTATTTTAAATCTTGATTATAAAAATCTATTATTTACAATTTTTTTTTTAAATCACAGCTCCAAGAATTATTATAATATCTAACACACAATTAATCCAGTTGTCGAACAAAAACTTGCCTAAATTAGGTTCCTAACTTGTTACTAATTCTTCAATCGATTTGATTCTTGTATAAATATTTAATTTAGACTTTTAAGAGGTTAGTCTCTTGATAAGCGAACATGTACCATGCGTTACCGTTCAAGTTCAATTTTTTTTTTAAAAAAAAAAAATTTGCAAAAAAATCATTTTCCAGAGAATACATTAGCGGGAAAGTGAATAACTTATTTAATATTTATTTTTGTGTTTTAAAAAAAATATTTTTTATTTTAAATTAATATTTTTTAAATTATTTTAATGCGCTGAATTTAAAAATAATTTTTGAAAAATAAAAAAAAATAATTTAATATATTTTTAAATAAAAAATACTTTAAAAAATAATCACAACCATATTTCCAAATAAAAAATTCATTAAAAACAAAAAGACTTTGGATACATGTATAAAAACAGATCCAAAAATATTTTTATTATTAAAAATAAAAATAAAAATAAAAATAAAATATATAATCTAGATAAACAAATTTGATAAACAAATTTAACATGCATGGATAAAATAGGCTAGTCTTAATTGTTATTTGATTAAATGCTGGAAAAGTTGATTATATATTTTTAATGAATGAATAACATATTTAATTTCCAATGGAAACTGAATCCAATATTTTATTAATCAGATTAAAAATAATTTCTGTTAAAAAAATAAAAATTTTGTTCAATTAAAAAATAGTTGAATTTGAACTTGAATAGGAACCAAGTTGAAAATTTGGTTCAGTTGTTGGTTCAAACCAAATACCACTCACTCACTCACTCCTTTTTCAAGGGGCTCTATTGAAAAACAAGAAAGTTTTGGTACCTAATTGATGATTAGAGGATAATTTGGGGGTGTCACCAAAACCAGCGTGAAGCAAATGCATTTTGATCGATCTCGTGAAGGAAGGGTATGGCTTGATTAGTTTTGTGGGTCCATTGAGTGTTTGTCCGACAGGCTTCACATGCATACTTTTTTTTTTAAAAAAAAAGAAAAAACTGTAGATAGCAAAGTACGTACAGATACGTGGCAAGCCCATAGTCACACCAAACACCTTATATTATTATTATTTAAAATACTATAATGTTTTTTAAAAAAAAACAATTCCATTTAATATTGTTCTGGGGAATCATAATTCTTCTTCAATCACAAGGCATGATGTGTCCACGGAACATTATTGGATTTTATATATATATATATATATATATATATATATATATATAATGGCTATGCAATCAATCATGTGAACTTGACTAAATTCTTTGTTTGATTGCTTATGTATCATTACCATTTGTTGCTTTAATTGACAATAATGTTCAAACAGCTGCTTTATTTATTGAATTGTAGTAGTTGTTTATCTTTAAGTATTAATTATTGGTAGTAAATTAGTATGGGTTAACTCAGTGACTTATTAATTTGAAATTTGAGTTAGGTTAAGTTTTAAAGTAAATTAAGTGAAATTTAACTTAATTAAATCTAACTAATTTAAAAAGTTATTTTATAGTTTGATTAAGCATATTAAGATTAGAACTCGATTTAATTTCATTAAAAAAATAAATAATTTTATCTTTTTTTTTAGAAAAATCTCCAAAAACAATAATGGGTTAAACAACTTTACTATTAGTTATATGCATCAGTAAACTTGGTATTGCCTTGGAGTGCTATAATTTCTCCTTTTTCAAGTTTGATATTGTTTATTTTTATATTTTAAAAATATTTAAAAAAAAAATTAAATATGTTTTGAAGTGCTAATATCAAAAATAATTTTTAAAAAATTAAAAAAATATTATTTTATTATATTTCCAAATAAAACACACTTTAAAATATACCTACAATCACACTCTCAAGCACCCATTACTCTTAATAAAACTTCAGTGCACACAAGTTATTTGAATTTGACAATTATTGTGCTCAAATAAACATCCCAAGCAGTAGGTATGAAACACGGTATCTCTGGAGGTTTCAAGTTTAAGTTCAGGAAAAAATAGATGGGAATTTAAGGATTTTTTTGAGGAACTTGGATGGTTCCTCCTGAACCTGAGCAGTCTAGAATCTAGAGGAGATAACAAGCAATTCTATTAATAGCAAACCAGCCTAGCTGAATGTTTGTGTGATGCTGTGCTGACTAAACTGAGTTCCCTTCATTGCTTGCAGGTGTTATTAGAACCCTACACCCCAGCAGACAAACTAGTACAAGGAATTGCTATTGCTATTGGCAATCAGTTTGATTTTAGTGAAGTGGATTCTCGTCTTCCTATGCTTGTTTATGTAATACTGTGAAAAGCTTCCTGGCTATGATCACAGCAACAAGGCTGGGGCAATGAATGCCTCACTTAAAGCCTCGGCTATCATATCGAATGGCTCCTTCATCTATATATAGTTCCCAAGCCATGAAAGAAGAAAGTGTTTCATGATGGATAGTGGAGGTGACAGAATTTGTTATGTGCAGAACTTCCTCAGAGATTTCAAGTATTTGACCTGTCTGGTATACACAGAAAGGATAGATTTAAGAGTCCTCAGGCCCTAAGGTAATAATCCAAAACTATAGAGAAAATCCTGAACTATATGTTCTGAAAAAATTTCTGAAGTCAATAGTATTAACCTCAATCTCTATTCATAAATAATACATGAAGTTATAGTGTATGAAGTTGTTTATTAAAGAGTTTAAATCCATGTAGGAAAAACATAAACCAAATAAAACTCTCCTAACCAGACTGAATATGGATTGTTTAATGGAAGTGTGTGGCTTGTTTGCCATATTTTGCTGAGAGGCCATGTTCTGGTGTTGAATTAGTGGATAATTTATCTGCAAAATTTTATTTGCATTCACATGCCAAGTCCAGGGTTTTTTCTGCAGCTCATCCAGAACTCTGCAATACATTCAGAAAGAAAATTCTGTACACGAAGAACTACGTTTAGCTATAGTACTAAAGCACTGAATTCACAGAGACTTCTAAAGATCTACAAGCTTACATCTGTGGTGGACAGGATCGATCTATCCACAGGACCACAACACGAAAGCACCTTTATCAGAAGAAGTCTTTATTTAGCCACATAAAGAATGGAAAACTGAGGAATCTTTTTCTGATTTCTCAAACCAGCTTTACATGTTAGTTATGACTTCTCTTTACAGAGACACAGACACCATTCAGCCTTCCAAAACGCCAACGATTGCCAAACAACTTCGAATCCCAGCAAGCTTTGTTAGTGTGTAGTAGATTGTATGACTTTATCGTGATTCATTTATGTAGTCCATAGAAACCAGTAAATATTATCTCTGTTGATCAAGGAGTGGCAACGTTTTCCTTGGCAAGTGGAGCAATCTCGTCTCCTTCGGAGCCAGCTTCACTGCCAGCAACATTTAGGCTTAACAGCATCTTCTCCCAGAGTCTGGCTGGTCCCTGCATATATCAAACCAACAAAATTCATTTTTCGTTATTTTGATCCCAGGAAATAAAAATTGTTTCAGGAAAGACGGAGTTGCTTATCCTCATTAGTCACTAACCTTCCATGAAAGATCTTGGGACATGCAATTCTTTATCATTTCTCTGAAGGCAGCAGTGCCGTAGACTGCTAGAGCTCTTACGACAGTCCTAACTATTGCAGCCACATCTGCTGGATCAACTGCCTCACACTGCAAAATATCTTGTTTTAGAATCAAGGGTAGAGGAAACAGAAAAATCAAGAAAGTAATTGCCACTTTGCTTTTACCTCAACACTGAAGGCTCCCATGTGGAATCCTGTGTAACCCTCCTTGACAGTGTCAACAAGTCCACCAGTGGAGGCAACGATGCACACCTGCAGCAAAGTTTAGCAGTTATTACTGTCATTCTTCTCTAGAAGACTAGAACAACTGGCTAGAAGATTCGAGAAAAGCTAAAGTTGTATAGTGAATTAAGATAGTAGCTACGTAAAGAGAAGAAGATGTTTAAGGCAATACCGTTCCATATCGCATAGCATGCAACTGAATCAGGCCACATGGTTCAAATCTACTGGGGATTATCATAAAGTCAGCACCAGCGATGATCATATGGGCCAAGGGGACATTAAACAATGCCACTCCTCTGACCTTATCAGGGTACTTTTTCTCAAGCTCGGCAATCTGCTTTTCCATGTATTTTTTGCCAGTTCCCTGAAGGAAACAACAGATCCCATCATTAAACTACAACATTTTAGGCATCACAGCAGCATAACATAGGAGTAAAAAATGTTGAACTTTGACACTTACAAGGACTATTATCTGCACATTATATTTAACCAGCATTGGAATGGCAGAAGCAAGAATATCTGAACCTTTTTGCTCTTCCAGTCTACCAATAAAGCCTATTACAGGAATATCTCTGTCAACAGGTAATCCAACTTCTGCTTGAAGTGCTTCCTTCAATAATGGCTTTGCATAGGAGACCTGAATAAAAAAAATCCCAAAAATCACCGTCTTTATCTTTCAGATTTGCATTCTTTGGTGCTAAAAACTATTGTAAAGCACTTACAGTTGCGATATCATATTTGATGCTAGTGTATTTATCTGTTGCAGGATTCCATTCTTGAACATCCATACCATTTATGATACCAGTAATGCCAGTTTTACGGATGCAGCCATCCAATTCCATACCCTTTTCAACTCCAGAAACAAGTTCCTGGGCATAGTAAGGGCTCACTGTAAAAACCATTTGTGCTTCCATTATACCAGCCTTCAACCAATTGAGTTTCCTTCCCTTCACAGGCTTGTCATACCTTCCCAATTAAAATTCCTCAGTATTTGGAAAGGGAAGAGACACAAAACTTGTATAAAACTATGTTTCTAGTCATCTGAAAGCATCAGCTTCTTAAAAAAAAGTACTCACAAGTCCATGAAGTCAAAAGAGCTCTTGAACCTATCTGGCAAATTGAGGAGTGAGAAATCTGAGAAGGCAAATCGGCCCTGGTAAGCAATGTTATGGATGCAAAAGGCAACCTGTCATGATTGAATTGACAACAGCAATGTCATCAACTGTGCAATCGGACATCCAAGTTAAGCATATCTCTGAATGTCTCAATTCAACTGGTAAATTACCTTCGCATTCATGAAAAGTCCCCTGGATTGGTACATTGATTTTAAGTAACATGGGAGGAGAGCTGTGTGCCAATCATTGGCAACAAAGACAACATCCTCACCTGCATTGATTTAGAAAATAACATCATTGGAGAAATTTCTTCATAGGAAAATTTAGTCTCACATTTTTGTAAAGAGGCACGCACCATATGGTCCAGAAAAATGTTTGCTGCTGTTAAAGCTCAGAACCCTTGGTGCTTCAAGAGCAGCCTGAAAAGCAATCAAACGAATCCATTTACTATTGACTTGCCTATCTACTATACCAGCAATTATCGGAGCACCGATGCTGATCAACTACCATTAGCGGATGGAACATAACATGAATATGTTCTGAAATTTCTCTTAACTCATTGTTAATCATTGTGTAGAATAAGTGAACTTGCAAGCAGTCAGGTCTACTTGGGTGAAACTTTATACTAAAAGACACATGCTTTGATTATGTCTACCCATGATGCAGCTTCTAGCTTACCACACAGCTTAACAAGTGAGGCCATGCAAGATTTGGTGCTGGTTTATATTTGTAATGCAAGTCACTGAACATTTTAACTGAGCTGCATACGAACTACAGGATGCACACGAAAAACAATTTATGTATTCACCAGTTTTGAAGTCGTGATATTTTCTCCTGGTGCAATGATTTTGAGTTAGATAACTGAATGCCTGACCTTTTATCCATTCTTTTTGCATGAAGAACAATTGGAAAATGCCCAGGAAATTAGAAGGAATGGAAATTATATTTACCAGGCAGAACAAGCTAAACCGCAGTTGATTATCCTGGTAATCCTCTCCAGCTGTAGGACCATAGATTTTGGATCCAGTTTTGCCCCATACCTTAAACGTGCAATTACTTTAGAATCAGAAACAGCGCATACAACAAAAAAGACAGCCTATTCTTGTAATCTGAACTGAATTTGCAAGAACTACATTCTTAGACATCAGAAACAGTAATCAGCAAAAATATTTTCAACCTTCTCTAGGAACATTGGATGATCCACGAACACACGATCAACTCCACGCTTGTAGCAGTGGAAGTAACGAACAGTTTCAATTCTGTCTCCAACCTGTATCTGTACATGAGAAGTTCATCATTTGAGTAAACAACCTCAAACATTACCATCTTCACAGGCAAGGAAACAGGCACAGACACAAAGTAAAGATGAAGCCTCTTAAACATAGCGAAACTATGACAAATTACCTGAGCCGATAGACAAGTGTCCCATGCATCTCTGTACTGGTCAAATCGGGGAGAGATTGTCATAACCCGGTGGCCTCTTGCCTGAACAACAATACCACAATAAAATTGTTCAAACCCAAGCCGTGCCTGGCATTTTGTCAAAGAGGAAACTAAGTATCAGAAACCCTATATACTTACAGCCATTTCTGGAGGAAGTCCACCAATGACATCACCAAGACCACCAGTTTTGCTCCAAGGAGCAACCTCTATGCCAACAAAGACCACAGTCATTCCTCCTTGAAGACAAACAATTTTTCCTGAAGTGTCATTCCAAGTGGCATAGGCCTTTTTCACAGACTTCCTAGCGAATGCTTGAGTCCTCATTTGCAGCTTGTCCGTCATGTTCAGTGACCTTAAACCACTGTGGGTCATGCTTTGGCTCCTTAAGCCAATTTGACCCAAACTTGCCTTTGTTTCTGATCCATGGCTGCTCACATTTGAGCTCCTTGACACAACGTGTGAAGCTGTCACGGTTGCCATGGTTCTCGTCCCTTGCTCTGCAAATTCAAACCCCAAAAAGTGAAAAAAGAAAATCCCTTCTAATTTCTTTAAACTTTTCAAGTTGATCATGCCATGAAACCAAAAATAAGGAAAAAAAAAATTCTGGGGTGCCTCTAAAAAATGCTCGAATTGACCAAGCTCAGAAATTTAACCCGAATGAATAACAAAGAAGTAAGAAATGGTGACAATAAGGCCAAGAAATGATCAAAATACATGGCACTAGCCAGCTTACAATACAACCATAGTGAACCAAAAAAAGAAAAAAACAAACCAGCAAGAAAATCTCTAGACTTTGATATTTTGTTTTGTAATCCTAGGAAAACCAATTTGTTAAAAATCTCAAAAACAATTGCTAGCAATATCACAAACAAACATGTAAAAAATTTTAAAAAATCAACAACTTACAAGATTAGCAAGTGGAGTCCGTCTAAGGTATATGCCAAGTTTGGAAATGACTGCATATTTTGTGAGCAAAGATATGGGGTTTTGTAGTAGTTGCATGGCAACACGTGCCATGACACGTGGCATTATGGTACTGCTTATGATAACTTCCAAGTTACTAGGTTCCTCAAGATTGGGTTGGTGGTCCCCAACTGACACACAATTTAGGACCCACCATGGGAGTAGGATTTTTTAGTTTTAAAAATTTTAATTTTTTTTACTTTAAATTAATTTTTTTAGTATTTTTAAATTATTTTAATATATTTATATCAAAAATAATTTTTAAAAATAAAAAATATTATTTTAATATATTTTTAAATAAAAATATTTTATAAAAACCATAATTACGTTTTCAAATACTCTACTTGAGATAATGATATGTTTGATATTGTATTTTGGAAATGTTTTTAAAAAATTTTGAATTTTATTTTATCATTTTGTTTTAAATTAATATTTTTGTAATGTTTTTATATTATTTTAATGTTTTTAATATTTTAAAATAAAAAATTAATATGTTTTTATTTTGTTTTAATATATTTTTTTAATGTTTTTAATGTTTTGGAAATGTTTTTAAAGAATTTTAAATTTTATTTTATTTTTGTTTTAAATTAATATTTTTAATATTTTTATATTATTTTAATATGCTGATATCAAAAATAATTTTTAAAAATAAAAAAATAATTTAATATATTTTAAAATAAAAAATAATTTAAAAAATAAATATTATTACATTTTCAAAACCACTATCATGTTGATTTTTTTTTTTCTTTTTTGGAGGTTTCAAAGCAAGTGGCAGAAACAACTATGGAGGGCGTCATCAAGTGCCGACATCCCTCAGGGAATTAAATTGTATGAAAAGATTATGAAATGTACGGCGCAGAAAGAAATTGAGAGAAAAATCTTGACTATTACTTGGTCTTTGAATTGCCAAAGTGCCATTGCCGTTCATGAATATGGATGGTCTACTATTTTTCTAATTTATTTTTTTATCTAATAATCCTCTGGGCAACTTGCAAGATTCATGTGAATAGTTTTAGAACATAAGAGCTCTTCTAGTTGACACTTGTCACACCTACAGTAGACAACATTGATTTTCTGATTAATAAAAAAAGAATGAGGAAATTGTATTTTTTAATTTGTGGTTGATTTACTGTGTTCTTTGATGGTGTATTTTACCACTATATCATTGGGACGTGGCAGATAAGGTCTGAATCATCATTGTGATTTATTGTATATATCCCCAAACTATTATTTATTAGAGAAATGAAGTTTGTCAAATAAATTTAAGATTAGAAGTCAACCTCTAAATGCTATGAATAATTCTATTTCAAAAACATTTGATGTATTTTTTAAAAAAAATATAATAATTAGAAAAATACAAATGGTGGATGAACAAGAAGATTTTTAATTCAATATTGTTTCTTTCTTCAAATTGTAAAAAAAATAAGAACACTGAAAAAAATATCTTTGTGTTTGCCTTCTCTAGTTATTTTGTTAGAAAAATTGAATTACTTTCAAAACAATATAATATATAGCATTTTGAACTCTTGATTAAAGTTTGACGGGTAGGCTTAATGGTCAAATTTGATGGCATGCCTTAATTTATTTAATAACCAATAGTTCAAGGATGCAATGTATCATATTGATAATCCAAGTCTTAGGCCAAGTTTGATATTTTAATAGTAGCTATTTTTAATTTGAAATGTTTTTAATTTAAAAATGCATCAAAACTATCATAACTCAATTTTGAATTTCTTCAAAATTATCATTTTTTTATAAAAAAATTAAAAAATTAAAAAATATATAGAAAGACAAGCGACTTGGATGACAAGAATATGTTGAAGAGGGATTTATATGAATAAATAAGGGATAGATATACCAAATTGAATCTTCAACAATATTGAAAACTCAATTGCACCTTTGAAGGATCTAAATGCAAATTCAAAGTTAACTTAATGTGAATATTTAACGAATTTGCATAAAAATTAAATCTGAGAATTTAGTTAGATATTTAATAGATTGATTTGATTTAGTCATGAGTCTAATTAAAGATTTAATTAAGTTTAGAAATTAACTTAAACTAAAATTAAAAAAATTAATTAAGTGTAAGAACTTAATTAGACGCTAAAATTAAAAAAATTAATTAAGTATAAGAACTTAATTAGACTTTTAATTGATTTAATTAATTTTATTAAAAACTTAATTGATGAGAAATTAATTCTGAAAGCCTAGTTTGCAAGGAATTAATTGGATAATGCTAATTTAAGGTTAACTTAATTGAGAAAATTGATTTAGAGGACTATATTTTTTTTTACAAAATTTATTAGATGGAACCAGGAGTGAAATTGCAAGAAAATAAGAATTTAGAGGTCCATTAAACACCAAATTAAAAGAACTCAAAACCAAGAACCTTTATGTAAAAGATACATAATATTAGGAGTTGTACCAGAGTTTTTCAATAACTAAATTAAATAAAAAGTATCAAATTCTATAATTTTCATCTATATTTTATAAAAAAAATAAATATTGTATTCTATCATACTTGAAGAAATACAAAAAAATCAATTAATAAGTTTCACAATAAATTTATAATTATCTATTAAGATTTGATCATAATTGTTTTAACAAAAAAAAACACCACAAAAATTATTTTGTTTAAGCTTGGGATATGCATTTTACCCATTTCTTTTGGACTTTAAGAATGTTATGTTTTAGTCTAATAAGATAAGAATTTTTTTACTAAGAAAGATTTTTCTTAAATCTTTAGATAGATCAATGAATAAAAATATAAAAACATGATTTTAGAAAAAAATAATTAATTAACAACGCGGCTTATCAAAAAGAGGTATATTGAAGGTGATGTGTTTTTCTCATACATAACTAGCCTCTAAATCCAAATTATCATAGATTGTTAGGTTTCTTAGTGACCACAATATTAGTTGGCGACTCCTAAATTCTTAAAAGCATATTTTTATGATTTATTCCAATATATCCAAAACCCTACTAATTCAAATTATCATCTGACATCGTGCATGTCATGATAAAAAAAAAAGTTAAATTAATGTTTTATATTATTATATCAAAACAATTTTAAAATACCAAAAAAAAATTAAAAAGATTTTTTTTAAAATATAATATTATTTAAAAAGATTTTTTTTAAAATATAATATTACCATAAAAATAAACACCGCCTTATTTTACCACAAACTAGGAGAAGTAAAATATTCCATTAAATTATTTTTTGCGTTAAATCATTAATATAATACTTTTCTTTCTATATGATTTTTTTTTAACTTGTTATTTGGTTTTAAAATTTTAAATTTAAGTTACAACAAAAATGTTAAGTTCTATGTATTTCTTAGTTGGTTGTGTACTTAATTTGTTATAAATTTTCATAATTTAAATATTTAATAATTAATTTTTGTTAGGCACCATCATGGATAAATAGCCATACAAAATCTATTGTTTTTTTTATGCAATTAAATGTTTTGTTTTAAATTAGCCACACATTTCTCTTGCTTTTACGTTTTGATCTCTTATCTCACTTTAAAGGGATTATAAATATATTGCTTCATCTTTAATATGTATCTTTTACATTATGATTATGATTTAAACAAAAACATTTTTAGTTGTAGTTTAAAAAATATAAGTTTTCAGTTAAAATTACTATGATATGAATTTTTGTATATAAAATAAAAAAAACCATGTCTTAATAAATGAAAAACATGTTTCAATAAATAAAAAGCAAGTCCTTTTAGTTTCTATAAAGTTAAAATTTAAAATGTAATTATATGCAAGGCCCAGGAAAAAAAATATAAATTATTTGATTAATTAAATAATTTTTTTATTATTATCAGATAAAAAACAAAAATATCATATCACAATATTAAACAAACAATCTTGTAGAGTTAAATCCATTTTAGAATACACAAATTAAGAATGAAATTATTAAAGAATTTCATTTTTCATTTTTCCATTCTTAAATAAATTACCATTTAATTCTAAACGTAATGGTGATTTTAAAAGAAAATGTCAGATTGGAATTTTTTCCACATCATGGCATAGTGAGCCTGAAATAATGAAAATCAAGCTCCCTTAGCCCAGCCTTTGTTCATACGAATATGGATCTCCGTCTTGTATGTGTTTCTATATTGGATCATACGTATTTTATGCCCTTGCCATACATAATTGATAGACTTTCTTTCATTTCTACAAAACCTAGCCCAATCCATGGCTTGATATAAAATTCAAATCAAGATTAAATTTGACCACGTCAAATCCAAACCTAATTTTATATAAAATTAAAGTTGGATAAGATACATTAAGCCAATAACCAAGATTTTTTTATGTATTTTTTAGAAAGTAATGTACTTCTTCAATTACTTTGATCATATTATTATAATGACATATATTATAATTATATATAAAAAAAATAAAAGGTATCAATTTTTCATTATATACCTAAACAATATATTATTATGAATTGAAATAATAAAATAATATTTTTTTTATTTTTAAATAAAATCATTTAAATAGTTGTTGATGGCAAACTAATCTT